CAGTGCAGAGTGAAACCAGGGCTGAGTGTTTGGAGAGGCCCTACCCTGGAAAAGCTGACCTGAGAATATCAGGCTAGGTCATTCTTTTGCTCCCACCCATTCCAGCGGGTACAGAGGTAGACAGACACTGGCAAGCTGTCTGTCTTTCCTGCAGTTAAATTCAGAACGTTGTCCAGAGAGCATCAGCCATTTGGGAAAAGCTGATAGGGTGTGGAGGGAGGATAATATTCCTCCGAAGCTGTCCGTTCTCATCCATCAAGCCCAAGTGTATGCAACTTGCAGGTCAAAAGGAATTTTGCATTTGTGATTATGTAAAGATACCGAAGTGGGTGTTTGTTGTGGATTATCAAGGTGGGCCCGCCATGATCACTGGGTCTTTATAAACCCGAGGTCATCAGAGTCAGGACAGTGACAGAATCAGAGCACATAGCCTTTGGCAGTAAAAAACCCAGAGCAAATGGACTTTTTTGTCAGGCTCTGAGAGGAGCACAGCCCTATTTTTAAAGTCCTGAACTCCAATGTATAAAGTTTAAAAAACATATTATCCATGCTTCTGGAAGTTTGTTATGGAATCAATAAGAAACAAGCATACATGTACATACTGGTCCCGCTGTTCCTGTGTTGGATGCAAGAACTCACTCCTAGGACTTTTCTCAGACCCCTCTCTTGTTCAGGTTCCTGACGCTCATGAAGGCCTGTGGGAACACTAACTAAGGGGCTCTGTTTTCCTTTCTCCAACTCCCCAGACATTCAGGACTAACTCCAGTCCAGTAACTAACAAGCTTTGAAAGTGACAAGCTTGGTCACTGGCCATGGTGTCGTCTGCTGTTCATGTTAGCTAGTGAGTGATTTATGGGCTGAGGGGTTAGCCGAGGAGTTTGTACTTAATACTGTCACTGTGCATATGCACCTCAGAACCAGGGACACCGAGAACAACATAGACAAAGACCCAGCAGAACCACTGATAAAACGGGACTGGTAAACAACCGGCTGGGCTTTCATGTATCCGCTGAGTGACAAAGAATTAAGTATGGTAGATACACGTGTTGGAGGTCTCAGTAGACAATGCACAGTTGTACACAGTGGCCCCTTGTTTCTGATGGCCACACTTCAGTTCTCTAGGAACACTGAGATCCTGAGATGTGTGTGTCGGTTTACTGGGGACAGCACCCAACAGCCACACCCAGCAGGCAAACGAGAGCAGCAGAATTGGGCAGGGCAGAAACTGAATGAAGCACTGGATGGTTGGAAGCTCACACGGCCTAGAAGAGCCGTCTCACATTAGGGCAGGAGGGCCTAGTCTTTCTGTCCCGCTGCCGGCTAGTCCCCCTGTGCAGGCCACCCATCCTTCCAGGGACCTAGCAGCCCCAGTGAAGCAGCTCTCTCCAGCCACTTGTGATTCCTTGAGAGGGTTCCACTGCCGGCTCTACTGATTACTGGGAGAGTAAAGTCACTAGTCCGGAAGGGGTGACAGGTTACGGGGTCCTCTTCACTGTGAGTTCCTGACTCTGGTGCCAGACTTTACAGAGGGTTAGTCAGCATTTCTCACAAGGCTCAAGTCAAGATCTGGAGTATGCAGAAATAAGAGACAGGCAAGGAATAGGAGCCAGGGAGATGACTTAATAGTCAAGAGGACCCGGGTTCAGTTCCCAGCTCCCATACCCAACTGCTCACAACCCCATGTACACACAGAGGGAACAAATGCACATAAAATAAATACATAATTTGGGGTTAGGGTGCTGGCAGGCCACAGAGCCAAGGCTCTGAAGAGAAAAGACAGGGAAAGCCAAGTGACAGCCACCCCTCAGACCCAAGAACAGCAGCCTGTGGGTCTGAGTCTGCCTCCACTTTGAGTTCCATTCATCATAATTTGTTCCATTAGTTGCTTCCCAGTTGCCATGCAACACCATAAGCAAGGCAACTTAAAGATGGAAGTGTGTGCTTGGTCCACCAGTTCCAAAGGAAGCTATCACAGCAGGGAGGCATGGCAGCAGGCAGGATGACAGAGGACAAAACTAAAAACAGAGAGTCGGAATCTCCTACCTCCGGTGACATACTTCCTTTAGTAAGGTCAAACCTCCTACACCTTTGCAGACAATGCCACCAATGGGAACTAAATGTTCAGATGTCTGAGTCTGTGGGAGACATCTACTTGCAAGCCACACTTGCCAATTCAGAGAGAAACTGCAAGTCATGTTTGTCATTTGGCCTTGTCACTTGGAGTAGAGATGACTACTGAAGTCAAGGTTGCTGCTAGTTGGGGCATTTATGGCCTTCCTTCTGTCTTATAAGGTGTGTTTTGGAAACACAATACAAGAGCTTTTCATTTCCCAGCCCTCCCATGCCCCCCTTTCCCCTTGTGGTTCTCAGATCCCTCCATACATCTTGTTCTGTACATCTCGTTGTCCTTTTCTCTTTATTCATGGACAGTGCCTGGAGTTTGGCTTTACTGCACTGGGGGTCGGCCGTTAAGATCTTTGGTGTGACTGATCAACTCCCGCGGGGCTCCCATTCAAATAGAGTCAGGGCATCTCCAAGGGTGGTACTGCTAAGAGACAGCGGGGAGACTGCAATGATAATAGAAGGCTTTGTCACTGACTTCTGCCAGATTGTTTTCTAGCTGCTGATCTTAACATTTAGGCCAAATAGTAGATAAAAAAAGATTTGCTGACCAATGGTCTCGTGATGCTCCCTTTACAAGAGTATAGATGTTTCTGTCTGTGCTTTTATTTAGTTTTAGCATACTGGTAGTTGGAGAGTTTGGAGGCCTTGTGACAAGCCAAGTCTGACCTGTCTGTAATGGCTGCCTGGAAAGGGTGTGTTAAGAAGGATTCTGAAGTCCAAAAAAACCTGAATATATACCTGGGGATGGATGGGACACCTGCCTGTATTTACCATGTACCGGGAACTGGACTAGCATCTCTCTCTACACAATGACCCACAATTGACTGTTGTCCTTTATTTTTTAAGACTACATCCAATGTATACTTTTGATCTAGTGTAGGAAATACTTTAATTTTTGAATTATTCAGGGGTAAAATGCTGAATGGAGGGTGAGGGTTAGTTAGGTGTCTAATTTCTGGGCTCTAGGAGAGTGGTGGGGAATACATTAAATCTGAAGTATTTGACTAGGAAAGAGATGGAACGAGAGTAATTTGTGGCTGGGTTTTGACAGTGTTTGGCTTGACAGGTCTATGGCTGCAGTAAGATCATTCTTGGGACGGGAGGGGCTGAACCTGCTGCTACAGAGGTTGCAGTAGGTAATGAAATAGCATATTCCCCCAGAGTCTCACTGATCTCATGGCAATGATGCTACATGAAAGCAGATCTTGCTGGGACTACTATGAAAGCAGCTTGGTTCCATGATGCTGCTTCGCGGGCCTGAGCGGTAGGTTTTACTAGGCTTGCTTTCCTGTTGAATCACAAAGAGACAGGCCTTCGGCGTTCTAACCCCTCCTCTGACTTAATCGAGATGTGTCTTTCTTTGGTCCTCGGTCTTTTCACACATGAAAGATAAATCTGTAACAGCTGGGGTGTGGAAGGAAATGCATTTGCCTTTTAAATCCTTGGTTAAAATATTTAAAATGTAAATCCTATCGCATTACTGTTATTATTTTAATAAAATGATTTTAGGGACTTGATTAAGGTAAATTAATCAGGCGTTTTGAACTCAAATTCATGATCCTTTTCTCGTTTCCAGTCTACGTACTGAATGGTAACGTATGCCTATGTGACGAGTGTAATGCTCTTTAAAAATCCTGTTTAAAGGGGTTGGAGTGATGGCTCAGTGGACCAGAGTGCTTGCCTCTTACACTTGGTGGTCTGCCTACCTGTATCCAAATCCCCAGGACCCACATGAGAAGCCAGCCATGGTCACACATACACACATGCTCCAATATATGTTGGGGGCAGAAACAGGGGGACCACCTGGGCTTTCTGTCCACCAGCCTAGCTTCTGATAATTGTGAGAGACCATGTCCTGGGGCCTCTGCATTCGCATGCACATACACCCCCCCATACACACACGTATGTGCACAGTCACAAACAAGATAAAATAAGTACTGTGGTAAGGTCTTGTTCCTTTTGAATGCAAGATTGTAAACCCTCAGGGCTAGTCTGACCCTCAACGATTTCTATTTTCTTATAAGAAATAATACTTTTTATCCCTTTGTCATCCTGTAACCCAGAGTTACACCAAAAATATGAAGTTATTCTTGAAAAGTTAGATGGTCCAGCCACATTGGAACTTTGTCCCCACACAGCCCCCATTTTAGCGGTACCTGTGCCCACACCAAATGCCCGTTTACCCCCCCTGACTGCTAAATGCGTCTCTGATTCCCCTCCTGTTGCTCAGCCAGTTTCTCCTTTCGGCCTAGATAAGAAATTCTGAGTTGGAAACAAACTGCTATCAAATCTAATTCATATGCAAAGAAACTTGGATTGTGAGCAAATACGTGGAGTGCTGTTATCTTGAATTTTTGGTTTAGTATGAGTTAATTCTTTTAAGTTTGTTCAAAGGTGAATTCGCAAATGACCGGGACCAGGGCAGAACCGGTCTGCCCCTCCCTAACACGAGCATCAGGCAATCCAGCAACTCCTCTAATTAAAGGTCTAGCAGGCTCATAAGATTCCCAGAGCCAATTAAACAATGCTCACCCTTGTACCTCCCAGTAGATTGGGGAGCCGCTCGGCACTTGCTGTGATTGATATGAAAAGTAGCAACGTGTTTTCAAGCACATTTAGCACCGCTGTTCCTCTATGGAGCACAAGCTTTCTACACAGCAGCCTTTTATCCTCTGTGCTTTTGGAGTGTGAGAACACCATGAAAGCTGCCTGCACCACAGCCTTCCTCTGGCAGAGCTGGGAATCAAGGCCCCGAGGAGGGGGTGGGCAGCTGGAGAATGACGGGGGGAGGGGAGGGGGAACGGGACGACAGGGGCGGGGCAGGCAGCTGTCATCTGAATAGCATTTTCCTCTGCCATTATCCTTCCGCCCAAGGCTCCCTCCATTCATATTCATGGCTTCCTTGTTGCAGAGCATCAAGGCCAGCTCCCTCTGCACCTTTCATCCCTTGTCTCTCTTGGAGTTTCTCCTTGGTTTCCGAGGATTCATTGAACCAACTCCGGAAAAAAAATAAGCTAGTAGAAATTGGAGCCAGTTCGGAGACACTCTACTGGGAAGAATTTATTTAAATGCAAGAAGTTAAAGCCAAATCTGTATGGTGAGTTAACTTTATATGTGCCATTGTTATTTAATTCCATTAATTCCCTACTAATTAGCGACTAATTTTTTTTTCTACCTGTATGGAAACAGTAGTTTCGTGCTGATAAGAGAACTCCTGCCCCAGGGAAACATTTATATTCTAATTTGCAAGCTGTACATATTTAGTGCAGAAAATGTAAAACTACAACAGTTAAATAACGTACAAAGAAGAAATTTAAAAACCACTGTCATTAGCAGTGAGCAGCAAGAATATTTTTAGTGAAGGCAACTGTCCTGAGCCTGCTATGCAAGAAACACAGACGCACATACTTGTGTCTTTGTACAGCGCCAGAATGAAGCAGAGTAACTTAGAGTAGGGCATAGCTGTAAGGATTCAGGCATTAAGCTGGCCTGCCCATCACCTGGCAGAATGCACTCAGGCAGTACCCAGGCCAGCCCAGGTGCAAAGGACCCCTGTCTCCCTCTTCTCTTCTGTCCTCTCTCCATCTCTGAGTCTCTTTATCTCTGTCTCCCCCCCCCCGTGCGCGCCTTCTAATAAAACTTCTCGCTAAGCTCTGTCTGCCTGGCATGCTTGTCCCTCCACCTCGGTCAGCCAAGGTTCTCCTCGTGTTTTATCATAACAATAGCCTGCTTTGCATCATCACGTGCTTCCTTGTGTACAATACGAAATCATAACTATTTCCGTATCAAAATATTTCTTTGAAAATTTTATGTGTCGATTTAGAAATTTATTATTTGGATATTCCATGAGTTTTGGGAAGTTGGAGTTTTTCAAATTCGTTCAACAAATTCTGGGCAATTGGTTGCATAAAGTTCTGCGAATAAGTTTTGTGGGAAACTCCTGGCTTTTCATTAGAAAAGATTCGTAGAATGATTTGTGAGTCAAAAGGGTATTTGAACTTCAGAGTGTCCCTCCTCAGAGGATGTTAGGGGCAGAGCCGCCTGTGGCAGTGCGTGAAGCCCCAAACAAGGAACTAGGGTAGCCTTTCCTGAACCTGCCGTCATCCAGGGGTTTTCACTACAGGAAGAAAACCAACCGCTTGCTAACTTTCTTAGACAACAGGAAAAAGAAAGCAGAGGAGTGTGGCCAGCTATGGAAATGTTTGCAGGAGTGGAGACGGGGGGGGGGGGCGTCCCAACCATCGCCCGAGTACGGATAAACAAGTACAACAGAATGGATAATCCTTGAAGAAAAACAGACGTAACTGCTGGGGAACATCTGAGAACCCTTGGGGTCCAGAAATAAGTACTTCATAACAACAGCATAATGAGGCCACCGGGGTGCTGAAAGCATTAATTAATGAATGATTTTAAAGTTCTCCAGGAGCCTAGGGAGAGTTCAGAGTGGATAAATTCCTTTGCCCATAGCCACCAATATCTGCCTGTGTGGTGTAGCTTGTTTAAAACAACTAAAGTTTCGAAAACACACCTAATTCCCGATTTCCTGTTGCAAACGAGATGCGTCATGTTTACCAAAGACCTGATATTCTGTTGAGGGATGAGTGAGTTATTTTTCAACTGTAAATCTACACTTTTGAGCATATCTGGAGAGATTGAGAAATCGGTACTGTAATGTCCAGGTGTCCCAGTCTGCAAAAAAAGAGCCATAGGAAGAAAGCCATTAGCTCTGGACTTGCTATTAGCTAGACCTTTGTGCTCTTATTAGAAGAGCCATGCCCTGTAATTAGAACAGAAACAATAAGGGCTTCCTAATGTTTTTCTAATGAAACTTGGATTTTCACTGATGATGCGTCTAAGATTTTGGGGTAGGATCTGAGGGTTGAGATGTCGTGGAACTCCCTATGTAAAACAGGCTGGCTGCAGACTCATAGAAACCCATCTGGCTCTCCTGAATATGGGATTCATAGGTGTGGACCACCACGCCCGGCCCTCCCTTGGTCATTAACTCTAGCAGCCATCGGTTCTCTTGACATGGTTTTGATGTTGTCCACAGGTCAGCAGGCATTCCTGGTTTCTATAAACCTAAGGGAAGATCACTGATTAAGAGGTTGTGTAACTTTTGCTGAGGTGTCCCCTGGTTCATTTCAGGTGGAGCTGATTTTATGGGTTTATTATTTAGGGAGTGAGTCAAAGCAGAAACAGGCAGAAATGGAGTGGCAATTAACCTGTCCATCTGCCAGGATGGTACACAGAGATCAGTAACTGAAAACTAAGAATCTGGGACTCATATTTTTATGCAAAAGCCAACAACTATTTTCTGGAACTTCACTCCTCACATTCGTAGACCTACTCCTTCCCTCATTTCTTGACTTGTATCCTAAATGGAGAGTCTTAGGGTAGCAGCCCCTTGGGGAGGTAAGAAGGGGCTCCCAACCCGTGGAGCTCTGGGCTTCTAAGTCAGTGAGACCGGTGGATGACTGCTGTGGCGAAGTGTGCCTGTGGATGGAGGTGGCTGACCCGGCTTCATACCCCTTCCCAGCTGAATTCACTTCAGAACCTTCTGGCTGCTTTACCTTGGAGCCTCACCTCTCAGATTGACCAGCAGCAGCTCACTCACTTAGAAATGTAACCTATTGGGCTTTACAGCTGGCTCAGCTGTTTAGATCACTTGTTTCTCTTCCAGAGGACATGGGTGCAATTCCCAGAGCCTATAGGGTGGCTCACAGCCATCTGTAACTCTGGTTTCAGGGATCTGATGTTCTCCTCTGACCTCCCATGGGCACCAGGCAAACACATAGTTCACAGACATTTATGCAGGCAAAACAGCCGTATAAATAAAATGAAAATTAAAATAAAGAAATGTATCCTCTTGGGTTTGGTATGAGACGAGACCTGACATCTTAGACCAGGCTAGCCTTTCTCTGTAAGAGATCCGCCTGCATCTCTCTTCCACTGCACGGAGATTGTGTCACTCCTGGCCACAATTTATGCCTTAAAAAGATCTTTAGGATCTAAAATTTGCCACCTTGTCAAAACTTCTTGTTTATGGAACGGAGTGGGGGAACATTACAAATCTATATGCTTAGACAACATAGCAGAGAGTTCTGTCTTGATCAGTAAGGACTGGAAAAATGTAGCAATAATAGAATAGCCTCCTTTAGGACGTGGCTAGCGCTCACCAGGTGTGGCTGCTGAGCCACTTAAACATATCGAGTTACTCATTTCTCTCCGAAACTTGGAAGATAAGAACACCCTTCCCCCGCTTTGCAGATCAGAACGTTATCGGAGGTAGAGAGATGTGTCCAGGCTTCACAGGTTTGCTTGTTCCAAAGCATTGTTCTTTCCCCATGCTATCCACACAGACACCCAAATGTTGGAGCCACTGTCCGAGCAGGCTTGCTTGGAGTTTCCTTTCATCTGTCAGGTGCCACAAATGGCTCTGAAACCGGAGTTAATTATCTTGATACAAATCACTGACTGTTCTCTACTGGCTGGTGAGATGCTTGGCAGCTGTTGGCTCCTTAGACGCAGTTTAAATGGTTGAGTCCATTTGTCTGCCCATTTGTCATCCTAGATATGAATTGTTTTTCTGAAAATCTTCAGGTACACTTCATTTCGGGGTCATTGGGAAAGATTTCCTGTTGCTATTTGGCCGGGACCTATTTTTTTCTTTCTTTCTTTCTTTTTTTGGTTTTTCGAAACAGGGTGTCTCTGTATTGTTTTGGAGGCTGTCCTGGAACTCGCTCTGTAGACCAGGCTGGCCTCGAACTCACAGAGATCCACCTGCCTCTGTCTCCCAAGTGCTGGGATTAAAGGCGTGCACCACCAACGCCCGGCTCGGGACCTATTTCTTTACTACGGAATATGCTTTACTCAGGGAAGGCTTGTTGATCAATTAAAAAAATAACATTTATCCTTCCTCATGCAAATGTGCACAGAGATGTGTGTGCACAGATTTAAAATGCTACAGAGTCTACTCTTGAGCTGCCCTCCCTGGACTTTCAAATCTCATTTGCAAAATTCTTTTTTCTTTACTGTAAGAATTCAGTTTGATTGGAGAGGTGGGAAGTCTTTCTTCAGTTTAAGTGTCTCAGAATGGAGTTTAAGATAACCTTACAGGTATCATATAAAAGACACTCCTAACATAGAAAATATCCATGTCACTGGGCAGTGGTGCTACACACCTTTAATCCCAGCTCGGGAGGCAGAGACAGGTGGATCTTTTTGGTTTGAGACCAGCCTAGTTTACAAAGCAGTTGTCAAGACAGTCAGGACTATTACACAGAGAAATCCTGTCTCAAAGAAAAAAAAGAAAAAAGAAAAAAGAAAAGAAAATGTCCATGTTCATCTTTCTAATCTAGAATATGGAAAAAGAATGATGGGTACAGATATATGTCCTTTCTGCCACTGTCCACAATGAAACACTTTGAGCTACTGGGGAGAGAAAATACCATTTATTCAGGCACAGTGGTTATGAGCTCAAGTTCTACCCATTCCTGAGCCGTGCTTGCACAACTTCAAGTCTCCTATGATTTGTGAGAAAGTTTTTTTTCCCCATAATAAACAGTACAATCTACCTCAATCTCAGTTTCTCTAATCTCTGGAACTAGTACCACACCCTCATCTTGAAGGTGCTTAATTTGTATTTTGACAGCTGTGATAGCCTCAAAAGAAGTTATAATATATTTTGTTCTCCAAAATTATGGATTGCATATAAATTTTCCCAAACTGTATAATTACTTTATTCTTATGAAGAAATCCTGTATTTTATGAGCAAGGATTTGAAAAGTACTGAGGGCATATGCAGAACTAATTTTTTTTAATTTTATGTGCATTGATGTTTTGCCTGCATATATGTCTGTATGAGGATGCCAGATCTGCTGGAACTGGAGTTACAGACAGCTGTGAGCTGCCATGTGGGTGCTGGGAATTGAATTAGGGACATCTGGAAGGGCAGCCAGTGCTCTTAACCACTGAGCCATCCCTCCAGCCCCATATGCAGAACTATCTTCCTCTCCTGAGTATGTGTCAGTTTCCAAATTTAAAAAAGTTTTTGTTCTGGTTGTCTATTTTAAGTCTTCCTTTAAAAATTTTTTT